AAACGATTTTATGTCGTACACGGCGCTCGAAAATCTGTCCAATGTTTTAGTACGACTTTGCTAAACTACGAAGCCGCACCGCTTGATGGATTGTAGGAGCATTAGGGCTATCGTGGGCCTCGCGGAGTGATACGTACTGTGCTTCAACATAATATACACACACAATAGGTAATAACCTCTTTTTAAGTTTTGTGGATATTATACATGGTTATGCTGAGGACATGTCGGCCAATTTCCACTGGAAATGCCGTTTGGTTAAACTGTCAGCAAGGAATTTGCACTGTTACATTTTTATATAACTTTAATGCACATAAAAAACAGCTGCTTGTTTAAGTGAAAATACATTGATGGGGTTTTTTGCACTAATAAAGTTGAGGAGTTGTAAAGCATTTTGACTAGTGTCAATTATATCATCAGTTATATCGTTATCGCAAATTTTCAAATGTATATTGTGATAAATATTTTTGGTCATATCGCCCTGCTCTAATGAGAACAAACTACATTTTAATAATAAAACTTGCATACTTTAACATTTTACAGGGTTTTTTTTCCAGGACTTTAACCTGCAATCATTTTACTCTGACTTTACACTTTTAAACCAAGAATCGAAATTCTAAAATGTTGCATAAAATGTAAATAAAACAGAATGCACCTGTTTACAAATCGAATCCTAAGACTTAACGAGGTAACGACAAGCTGCTGTTACCGTGAATTACTGCGACTGGTCTGATCCATTGACACGCATCACTAGCACATAAAAACATGGGTGATGATTGAGTGCAGTGGGTCACATGGTCACGTTCCCTCCCTGTAAGCCTGTGATCAGATGGGGTCTGTCCAGTCCAGCGCTTGTTGTTGTAACCAGTTCAGATCTAGACCTTTCAACATGTGGCTCTAATAATATGGTTATCCTGGATGAAGAGGACGGTCCTTCAAGTAAGCAACACAAGACAGTTAAGGAAGCTGAATGTGTAAGTAAAAGTGGAACTATGTCTGCTGTAACGGTTTCCTTTAGGGATTTGATTTTTTAAC